AATTTTCTTGCTTATACTATCCCAATGTTTTTGAGCATTTATTTTTTATTGAAATACTTAATTCTAAAGTATATTAGTCATTAAAAAAGTTTGATTCTTCTAAATTTACATCAGAACTTAACTTCAATAATTTAGCTATTAAATTTTTGCTATTCGAAATTTCCTTTCCATTAAATTTATTAAAAATTACTTTCAGTTTCTTTATGTCAACAAGGAATACTGGTTTAGGTTTTATCAGACCACCATTTGAAATTTGGCCATCCATGTATGTATATGAAAGGGAGATTTTCTTTTCATATTCGGTATGATAAATCCTGCACCTGGGACCAAACGCGTCCACTTAGAAATACTCGGCTGCGATGGGCAACAAATAAAGTCACGACCACACGTGAAGAGTCTCCTAATGAAACATTGGAGCAATTTGCCCACCGTTGCCGCTTCACTTGACAATTCGAATGTTTAAAATAACGCACAATGTTTGTTGTCCAGGCTCTTGACGAAATCACTTCTACCTTGCTTGCAAACGTCAATAATTTGAAAATTTCCTCTCAGGGGTTCTACCTTCCTTTTTTTATGATGGTGCAAGCCATGATAAAAATATAGTAAGGTAGAACCGCTGAGAGTTACTTTTAAAATTCTTGACGTTTCTAAACATTTTAATTTTTAAATTTACTCACAAACTCACACACACATTTTCATTTTCAATCTCAAGCAACAACAATTTCGAACAATTTCAATTTTTTATTTTCAATTTTATATGATTTTAAATTGCTGGCAAACTTCAAAAGAAAAATCATGGCCGACAAAATGAGAGAACGGTTCTACCTTGCTATGTTTTTATCATGGTGCAAGCAATCATGTTCGAATAACTAATAATAAAATTACATCTAAATCTTAAATAGATGCGTTATTCGATTTATTATGTTAAGGAATTTTTACCATACATTTTTGGAACTGCTTTTTTCAGTTTGGAATTTCATAAAACGATGTGGGAGTAGACATTCGTGAAATCCATCATATCAATCAAAAAGTGAAATTTTAGTTTTTATTAGTTATGACTTTTTCCATTCAGCGACGTGTTTGTTACGTCTTTTTGCATTTCAGGTGCGATATGTATGTATGTGTTTATGCACACATGTACCAGTAGATAATTTCAGGAGCTTAAAGCCCTTTTTTGTATGGAGTTGCACAAATTGAATGCCTTCTGCTTTCGCCAGCCTAGAATTCATATAAAGCTGCTTCTTAAATTCATAAAAATCTTACTTCTTTAAAGTATTTATTTAAGGTTCATATCGAATAGGTTTTATTATAAACTAAAATGCATATTTAAATTCGTTTGTAATGTTAAATAATCTAAACTTACACAATCGCGTAAATTGTAGATGTAAATTTGGTAAATCTTTCTAAGGGCCAAATTCACAGTGCGACAGTTAACTAAAGATTTTTGTACTGAAAACTGTCGATTCTGAGTTAAATACGCACTGTGAATTTGGCCCTAGGTTTTTTAAAAATGTTACCATTTTTGATCTGTGGACCCTTGTTGTTAAGGTATATTTCTTTTAATACTGTTATTTCAGTATAAATGTCATCCATTTAAAAATTTTCTTTCTTGAAATACTGAAATATATTTATATTTATAACTGAAGAAATATAGTATTTTTGCATACTATTTTTTTTCCAACAGTATATAGTACGCAGACCCAAATAACTAATAACAAATGACAAATCCACATAGTTTTGAACTAAAACTCAAAATTTATTTAAATAACTGTTTTAATGAATAGCCTAAACTTTTTGTAAAAAGTAGGTTAATAATTAAAATAGTGATACAAAACTAGAATTATACTGAAAACATGGTAGAAGCACTACACAGATATATGAATCATGATGGTTCGTGATGTATATGTACATATGCATGGATGAATACATTCATATATACATACGTCCACGTGCAAGAATTACTTGTGCATTTTTGGCACTTATGACAACCGTGACCTTACTTCTAATTTGTTGGCAATCATATGCATATTAATCAGTGATCTCCTCAATACGGCCGCCTCTTCGAAAACATCCGGTGCCACAAGATCGTCCGATTTCTCAATAAGTTTGTAGCGTTCCGCCGCTATCAAACACTGCTGTGCAATTTCACGCGCTTTGGCACGCGTATCATCTGGTAGCTGTGAGAGGCCACTAAGTAGTTCCATAATATCGGTTTCAAAGAGCTTTTTCGCGATGTCCTCACCAGCATTAATCATATTCAATATTACTACAACGCCACGATGCTGCACATCCGGGCTTGGATTGGCAATGAGGGTGTGAGAACTTGCAACCACGTACCGATTTCAAGTATTTTGGTGCAACATACTTTTGAAATTGACGTTAAAATAGCCAGCGCCCCGGCACAAGCCTTTGCAGTGTCTTCATCCTCATCTTCACACAACAATCTACCATGTTTTCAGTATAATTCTAGTTTTGTATCACTATTTTAATTATTAACCTACTTTTTACGAAAAAGTTTAGGCTATTCATTAAAACAGTTATTTAATAAATTTTGAGTTTTAGTTCAAAACTATGTGGATTTGTCATTTGTTATTAGTTATTTACGATCTCAATTCAAGTGGTCCTTTTGGGACATGATTTTCCTCTTCAACAGAACTCATACGTGTGTACATATACCTAGGGTTGCCAACCGTACTATAATATATAGTATTGTACTATTTTTTGGGTCTGCGTACTATATACTGTTGGAAAAAAAAAATAGTATGCAAAAATACTATATTTCTTCAGTTATAAATATAAATATATTTCAGTATTTCAAGAAAGAAATATTTTTAAATGGATGACATTTATACTGAAATAACAGTATTAAAAGAAATATACCTTAAAACATAGGGTCCACAGATCAAAAATGGTAACATTTTTAAAAATACCTAGGGCCAAATTCACAGTGCGTATTTAACTCAGAATCGACAGTTTTCAGTACAAAAATCTTTAGTTAACTGTCGCACTGTGAATTTGGCCCTTAGAAAGATTTACCAAATTTACATCTACAATTTACGCGATTGTTTAAGTTTAGATTATTTAACATTACAAACGAATTTAAATATGCATTTTAGTTTATAATAAAACCTATTTGATATGAACCTTAAATAAATACTTTAANGTGGAAAAAGTCATAACTAATAAAAACTAAAATTTCACTTTTTGATTGATATGATGGATTTCACCGAATGTCACTCCCTACATCGCACTTATATTTTATGAAATTCCAAACTGAAAAAAGCAGTTCCAAAAATGTATGGTAAAAATTCCTTAACATAATAAATCGAATAACGCATCTATTTAAGATTTAGATGTAATTTTATTATTAGTTATTCGAACATGATTGCTTGCACCATCATAAAAAAAGGAAGGTAGAACCCCTGAGAGGAAATTTTCAAATTATTGACGTTTGCAAGCAAGGTAGAAGTGATTTCGTCAAGAGCCTGGACAACAAACTTGTGCGTTATTTTAAACATTCGAATTGTCAAGTGAAGCGGCAACGGTGGGCAAATTGCTCCAATGTTTCATTAGGAGACTCTTCACGTGTGGTCGTGACTTTATTTGTTGCCCATCGCAGCCGAGTATTTCTAAGTGGACGCGTTTGGTCCCAGGTGCAGGATTTATCATACCGAATATGAAAAGAAAATCTCCCTTTCATATACATACATGGAT